TGGGTTCCACTGCCGGAACAAATCTTCCTAAATGTATGCATAGAAATGATCGAAAGTACAGACCCTGTGTCCAGTTCCATAGTTAATGGAACCCCTTGTAGCTTCACCTTAAGTGACAGCTTTTTCTTAATGGGCTTGTGTGTGCCTGTCCTATAGATGCTTCTTCGCGAAGCGCAAAACCCCACCCTATTCTGGCTGGGAACCCTGGTACCTTTCAGGCGCAATTCTTCCTGAGGTTGTACCTTCTGTCGGCCCAGGCACACAGCTGCAATGTGTCCTTGTTTTCCGCATGCCCTGCAGATAGCGGAGGGGAACTTGCAGTCGGTTCTCTTGTGGCGACCTCCACAGCCGATGCACTTGGGGAGACCTGAAGAGCTTCCTTTTTGTTTCCCTTCCTTTGTGGGGTGGAGACGGTCCATTTCCTCGTCAGGATCCTCCTCAGAGTTCCTTTGACTTCTTTCTGGTGCACGGATGCAGCATCTGGACTGTTTCTGATCGGCCGCATGTTCTTGATGGCGCCGCCCGCTGCTTCTTCTGCGGTGACCTCTCTCAAGGCATCTTGGAAAGACAAGTCCTCCTTGGCAAAAAGTCTCTGTTGTAACTCTCTATGCCTTAGTCCGCATACAAATCTGTCCCTCAGTCGTTCTTCGAGGTCCTTGAATTCGCAATGTTTGGCGGCTTTCCTCAATGAGGCGATGTACTCCTTGGCCGATTCTCCGGGTCGATGATCCCTCTGCTCGAAGGTGTGGCGCCACACGATGACGGACATCTTAGGCTGGAAGTGCTCCTTCAATAGCTTTTTTAGATCTGCGTAGCTGACAGACTCTAGAGGAACAGATGCTGCAAGGTTCTCAGCGATTTCGAATGCATCTTGACCACAAATGCACAGCAGGGTGGCAGCCTTTAAACTATCTTCCCTCACTTGGTTCACCTTGAGGTAGTTTTCCACCCTGGCTACGTAGGACTCCCACCTCTCTGGATGTGAGACGTCGAATTCCGAAAGCCTTCCAATTTTTGCCATTTTTGTAGAAGGAAGGGTCTATCAGCCAGCCTACCCCCGAATGCACGCTGGATTGACGGGTAGCTGCCGAGTCAACGCCGTTCCTGCCGCTCAGGACTCACTCGGGTAAGTTTACACCTTTTCGGTGATGTAAGGCAATCCCATCCTCGTCGCCAGTGTTGCGTCCTTCGCGAAATGGCAAGACACGAGAAGCAGTTGTAGTTCTCAGGAACTCTTTATTCTTTAGTTCAGCTTACAGTTGGAAGACGCCGGCAATGCCAAAAACTCTCGACTTCTTTTATAGGCCTTTCCCGGGTCAATCTGCAACTTTTGGCGCGCCAGCACTTGCGCATGCGCACAAGTATTGGCGACAGCCTGCCTGGTCCTGGGCAGCTTGCACCTGCTTGGGACCATTTGCAATGCCCCGAGCCTGCTTGCACAGGCTCAGGACATAACAATTATCATTATTATTATTATGAAGGGAGATGGGGAGCGACCCGGCCGAGGTTGTCCTATTCGCTCCCATTCAGCTTGGCGCCCTCCAGCCTCTTATCTTTTAGCGTTGCCCGATGCCCACCCGGGAAGAGCAGGGTAACTCACCCAGCCGGAGTTTCGTGGAAAGACCGGCGTTCCGGCTCCTTTCCTCTCCCTAAAGAGTTTGGCGAGCGGCTGATAGCTGCGAGGGAGCAGAGCAAGTTCTTCTCTAAGGCCCGAGTTCAAATGGGTTGCCGTTCTTCCTCTTCTTCCAAAACTCAGTTTTCGCTTCCTTAGACCATTTCAGGGAACCGCCTAGCTTGCACGAGCCTAATCTTTGCAGCTAGAGCCGTCACAGCATCTCGGAGAATTTTTGTTTTTAAAGACTTCCAAACTTTTGTTTGCTGTAAAGAACAAGGGAGCTTGCTGGGGACGTTGCAGCCTGTGGAAATGTTAAATCAATCTTTAAAAGATAGAAAGAGAACAAACTAAGGTATATCCCAAGCAATTATGTCCGATCTGATTTTTGTTTTGTTTTGTTTTTTAAAAATGAGGACTTTCTACTTAGTCCCCTTTGAATGTCTGGGGGTGGCGGGGGAAAGGTGGGGGGCAGAGTAGCCCTGTACAAATTTATCAGAAAGCGTTTCCTCCTAAGTACAGCTGAGCTGATCAAGTAGCCAAGTAAAAGCCGGATCCAGAGGGAAGAAGGAGCACTTCGGAATTAGGCTTTGTTTCCAAAATCACAACGCGGTTGCTGTTGCCTTCTACTTTAGGAAACATTAGCTTAAAGTTTGCCCTGGAGGCTTCTCTCCTTTGAACTGGCGTTCAGGACAGTCCCACCTTTTATAAACTGCCCTATTACGCCGTTCCGGGATGGTCTCCAGAAGTGCCAGGTGACCAAGAAAACGTGACGCATTTCTTTTAAATTCTAAGCAAGCCTTGTTTATGTTCATGCAGGACAGTATTTTGGAAATGATTGAGAAAAGCTGCTTCGGAATAGACGGGAATGTTAATGTGTGTTTTCTCAGCATTATTGCGCAAGTCTGGGGAAAGCTTCAGCAGCTTTAAAAAAATAGAGATAAGGGTCATAGTTTTCCCACGTTATTCCCACTTCCCCTTTAGAAAAGCAGAAGGGAGAAATTACTGTGTGAACTGAAGAATTAAAAAAAGAGATTTGCTTTAAAAAAAGAAATGCTTCTAAGAAGAAGAGAGATGCAAATTGGAGTGTCTTGGTAAGGTTGGAATAAATAATTATACCATTTTAACCTTTTGTAAAACTTACATCAGAAGCAATAAAAAAAATTCTGGAGTCCATCATAGACATAGATGTAAATCAGCTGAGAAGTTGGCTGGGCAAGTTGGCTACTTTCCCCCATTTGTTATATTATGTGTTTGTTTTGTGAAGCCCAGAATGGTGTTTCAGTAAAGTGTTTTTGAATGTTGTAATGTTCTTATCCCCCCGCACCCCCCCCACCCCAGATGGTCAGCAGAGAGCTTGTAAGAATGAACAGGAGTAGACTTTTGGTAAGTATATCTCTTCCTAGTCAAGAAAGCCGCAGGATCAGTTAATTTACCTCTGGAGCCGAATTAATCCTCCATGTTTCCAGCTTAGACAGCTTTAAAATAAATGATAAATTTGCTTTCTGTGGAGTAAATTTTACACTGGAATGCCACAATCTCCTTCAGGTGAGCATTTGCTGGGTTTTCATAGGCTACAGGGGCAATGCTTTGAATATGTCTGATTTGCCTCTCATTGGAGTGATCACATATCCTTTGCCCACTTGCCACATTTGGGATGGAACTCTCTTACAAATTGGTACAGTCCTTCAAATGTGTTGCCATGTCACCATGCTGACTTGCACCATCGGTTCTCTATGTGGTCATTAAGCAAATGGCACACAGTCCTTAAGCACAAATTCAGATGAATGTGACTTACGACCTCCTGCTGGTTTCCCCATTGACTTCTGCTTGTCAGAAGCTGACTGTGAAGGTTGGTAATGGGGATCACAGGCTGATGAAGTGACTGTAAACAGAGGCCAGCTGCCAAGTAAGCAAATTGTGACTGAGCCCTTTAGTGAGAACTGCATACAAAAAGAGCCAACGAGGTTAGCTCTATTAATATTGATAATCTCTGAGTTCAGTGATTTTCTGAAATTTGGGGAACAGAAATGTCAAGAAATTGAACTAGCCAAGTGATCCCTTTCCTAAAGCAAAGCCTAAGAAACCAACAGCTACTAAATTACAGCTCAAAGCATCCTTCAGCAAAGGACAGTTTGCCCTGTGGCTGCAATTATGCAAAGTTCAACCTCTGGAGCCCCAGATGTTCAGTTGACTTTTTAAATACAACAATATGTAGAATGACCAAGATTCCACTCCAATGGGGTATCGCTATAAAGATGTAGCATATCAAATGATTCTCAACAATGTTGATCAGGATCCCAAAAATGATTCCAGTAATTCCTATGAGTATTTGGGTGATCTGCAGAAACAATTTCAGCTTCAACCTTCAGTTACAATTCACACTGCACAATCAAATCAACAGGACAGGACAGCAGGGGAAACAAAACACATGACATACATAATTTAGATTTTATCCCCTCCCTTCTAAAAGACTTGCAACTTTACTTTATATCCTCTTAGCTACCAGCCAGTAGGGTGCACTACAACAAGCAATTTCCTCCTTCTCCAGCCATAGATATTCTTACTTTCAACGCTTTTTCTTATATTTATAAAGATTTTTTTTAAAGGAAGCTACTGTAAATACTAAGAAAAGGGATTTGTTTCTGTTGATTTTATTTTTCTAGACCTCACACTACAGGCCTCAAGATTACCTTAATGGAGATAGGTTATAAAGTTTGTAGATGTACATTATCTGGTCAGAATAACAAATGTTTCAAGAATGTTCATATGTGCACAACACAGAATCCTCATGATACTATTGCAACAGCATAGGATGGATGAATAACCTTTATTGTCATTTTTTTCCTGTGGGCACAACGGCACACATTAAAAATGAAAATTCCTTGTAGAGGAGGGATCTGCAACCGTGACAACTTTAACACTTTCCTCTGGTCCAGGAAAAACCTTTCTCCATGGCACCGGTCCCTAGTGCCCAAAAGGTTGGGGACCTCTGCCTTAGGAAACTCTTGAAGCTCTACCGCAAGTTCCCCCCCCCCCAGGCTTATTGAGGCAGAATAAAACATTGGGGAATGAGGAATTAAAAGACAGGGAACATATCTTTTATACGTTCTCTGTCTTTTTCCTTCCTTTCTATGGTCCCCAGCATTGCTAAATTTGCTGGCCTAAAGGAGCCGCACTTCTTGCAAAGCCCAGCATGGATTCTCCTGTGATCAGGGGCCCAGAGTCCTTGCCTTCCACTGCTCAGACTGCCAATCTTCCCATCCCAGTGAAGAACGTTTATCAGGGCAAACCTCTGGCCCTCGGGGGGGGGAGTATGGAGATGAGCGGAATGACGGTGCGTCTCTTGTTAGAAATCAGAAATGATTCATATTTATATGTTACTTACATGTAAGGGTCTAGGTTGTATACTGCTTTCGAGGCACAGGATCCGCTGCTGAACCAAAACCCAACGGAGCTGGAAAGACGCAGATGCTAAGCAAACAAAAACAAAAACAAAAACCAACAACTCAAACGTCATCGATCTTAAAATTCTCAAAGGCTGCTGCATCACCCGAGTGCAGCTTCTGCTTCGGACGAAAGCAGCTCTGGCTGTTTGCAGTCGATGAAACACTGGCAGGAATCACATTCTGATAAATGATGACAACCTACAGAAACATATAATGAGATTTTTTTTTAATTGAAAGTTTTTTTATTTTTTCCATATAAACATTATAAAAAATGTATACAATACAATTTTAAGATAAAATAAACATTATTACGACCTGCCCACTCCCCCCAGGCCGCGTCCACCCTCTCTTAAAACATTCCCTACTTCCCTCCTCTTTCTCACCTCCCATCCTACTCTCTTCCCCTCCCCCTCTCCTCTCACTGCCCTACTTCCTCTCTACACTTTCTCACCTCTCATCCCTATCAAACCCATGAACGCAGCATAAGGGGAGTGCCCAGGCCACACCCCTATAAGCAACCATTATCTATATTACACTTACCCCCCCACATTTCCTCCCTCCCACCCCCAACCCCCCTCCCTTCACTTCCCAGAGCAGAATACAGGGTTAATAATTAGAAGAATTTATAATAATAAGAAAAAAGAAAAGAAAAAGAAAAAAGAAAAAAAATAATAAAAAAGGAAAAAAATACCATATTTAACCTTTAACTCCATAGCCTATAAGACAATTCTCTGTAATATTTACTATAATATTCATTCATAAAATAAGTGAAACTTTTTAATTCCATACTTTTTCTGAATATAATCTATCCATCTTCTCCATACAGTAATATATCTTTCTTGTGTATGATCCTTTAAATAAGCAGAAATTTTTGCCATCTCTGCAAAACTAGATACTTTAAATACCCATTCTTCTAAAGTAGGCAAAGAATCTTTCTTCCAATATAAACCTATTAATAACCTTGCAGCAGTTAATAAATTCAACATCAAAATAGTTTCTTTATCATTTAAATCCACAAAGATACCCAATAAAAATAGTTGAGGAGTGAACTTTATCTTCCTTCTAAAAATCTTTTGAATGTTCCACCAAATCATAATCCAAAATGCCTTTACCTTTTTACAATTCCACCAAATATGAAAATATGTCGCATCTTTATTGCCACATCTCCAACATTTGGGCTGTATGTTAGGATACATACAAGATAATTTTTTAGGATCTAAATGCCATCTGTAAAACATTTTATAAAAATTTTCTCTCAAATTTTGAGCTTGTGTAAATTTAACATTTCTAGTCCAAATTGTCTCCCATAAATCCAATGAAATCGGTTCCTGTATATTTTGAGCCCATTTAATCATACAGTCTTTAACCAATTCTGTTTCCGAGTCTAACTCTAATAAAACATTGTAAATTCTTTTTATATGGGCCTGACTCTGATTTTTAATCTGAATAACCAATTGTTTATCTTCTAATGTTATTCCCTCTTTCTTATTTACAGTCCATCTATCCACTATTTGTAAGTATTGAAACCATGACTGTAGAGTATTTTCTTGCCTTAATACATCTAGGGATTTCAAATGCCAATTCGAACCAGACCAAATTAACAATTCTTTATACGAGATTTTATCGAAATTTGTCCCCTTAGAAATTCCCTCAATTGCATGTCTGGGAATCCCCCAGATAGGTATTTTGTAATTCAATCTGTAATAATACTTTTTCCAAACATGAAGTAAGGCATTCCTCAAAATATGTAATTTAAAAATCCGATCAACTTTCTTATTAAAAATCAGGTATGCATGCCAACCATATATTAAGTCCCAACCTTCCAAAAACAGAATATCCTTATTTGTTAAGTTGAGCCAATCGCTTAACCAAGTTAAAGCGGCTGTATCATAATATAATTTCAAGTTGGGTGCCTTAAGTCCTCCTCTTTCTCGAGCATCCTGTAAAATCTTAAACTTAACCCTTGGTTTCTTTCCGGCCCATATAAAATTGTTGATACCCCTTTGCCATTCCTCCAAATTTGCCTCTTTTTTAAAAATAGGTATCATCTGAAACAAAAAAAGGAACTTTGGTAGAACATTCATTTTTACAGCTGAAATTCTCCCCAACAATGACAATTGCAATTTTTTCCAGTCTTTTAAGTCCTTTTGTACTTTTCCCCATAATGGTTCATAATTATTCTTATACAATTTTCCATTTGAAGCAGTTAAATATACTCCCAAATATTTAACCTTTTTTACCATCTGAAAACCTGTGGCTTTGACCAAACTTTCCCTATCCTTAACTAACATATTCTTAGATAATATCTTAGTCTTATAATTATTGACTTTAAAACCAGAGACATTCCCATACTGTGTTATAAGTTCTAATAATCAATCGCTTGATTCGGTTGTTCCAAAATTAAAACCAAATCATCCGCAAAGGCCCGCAATTTATACTCATTCTTCCTTATCTTTACGCCCTTAATTACCTTTGATTCTCGAATCTGAATCAATAAAATTTCCAACGTTAAAACAAATAACAATGGGGATAATGGGCATCCTTGTCTTGTCCCTTTTTCAATATTAAAATTCTCAGTCAATCCCCCATTTACAACGATTTGTGCGGATTGTTGCTGATATATAGCTTTAAGTGCATGTAAAAAATTATCCCCAAAATTCATTTTCTCTACCAATGAAAATAGAAATTTCCAATCTAATTGATCAAAGGCTTTTTCAGCATCCAAAAAGATAAAAGCCACAGGAATCTGATTATTCTTATCCAAGTATTCAATTAAATGTATAATTTGTCTAACATTATATTTCATATATCGTCCTGTTATAAATCCTGTTTGGTCATTATGAATCAAGTCCTTCATAACCTGCATTAATCTGTTTGCCAAAATTTTTGTAAAAATCTTATAATCAACATTTAATAATGAAATTGGCCTATAATTCTTAGGGTCTGTAAGATCCTGATCTTCCTTTGGAATCAGTGATATAAAGGCTCTTTTCCAAGAAGGAGGCACTTGTGTACCCAACATAATACTATTAAAAAGTTCCTTTAGTAGGCTCCATCATTTCTTCAGATAAAGTCTTATAATACCTCGAAGTCAATCCATCTGTTCCCGGAGATTTTCCAACCTTTAACTGCTTAATAGCTAAACCAATTTCCTCCACAGTAATTAATCTATTCATCCCATTTTGTTGTTCCTCTGAAAGTTTAGGAAAATGCACAGATTGTAAGTATTTGTCTATATCCACACCCTTTATGTTATCACTTGAATATAATTTTGTATAAAAATCTAAAAAACTCTTTTGGATCAAATTTTGCTGAAAAATCTCAGTACCTTTATATTTTACTTTCTCTATAACTCTAGCTCTCTGTTTCTTTTGTAACTGATAAGCCAACCACCTCCCAGGCTTATTCGCGTTACAGAAAGCATTATGTCTCATGTACGACAGATTGGTAGCCACTTGATCTGCCATCAATATATTAAATTGTTCCTTAAGCATCTTTATAGATACCTTTAAATTATTGTCAGTTGGATTAAGAACAAACTCTTGTTCTTTTAATTTAATCTCTTCTTCTATTTCTCTATGCCTTTTTAACTCTTTTTCCCTAAAAACCTTATTCAATTGAATCAAAATTCCCCTCATATATGCCTTACTGGCATCCCAAACCATGGACATCGATGTTCCCTTATTCATGTTTATAGCAAAAAAGTAATGAGATTTTAAGCCAGTTGTTTGCATGCATTTCTCATTCCACAGTTCAGAATAGAAATTCTCAGCTTGCCAACAGCTTCTTGAATGCTTCTATCTCTCCTTGTTTCAAATAAGGCTCAGAAATACTTTTGGTTCCATTGCCAAGAGGAATCTGGATAAAGACATCACTTCCTCTCTTTAAAGCAACTGCATCCTTTTCTGGTTTTACATGGCTGGTGCTGCTTCCCCAGAAAGAAATGCTTCATATGCTCTCACACATTGTTGTTATTATTATTATGCCTGATCTTTGTTAAATGTGGACACATTGCAGCATCTGGGTATCTTTTAAGCCTTCTACACTCTTCTTTGTTGTTAAGCACCAGGGCCGGCAAAATGAGAGAGAAAAGAGAGAGAGTATCCCAAACAATGACACACACATACACACACACACACATGCAAACACCCCTATGACCCTCTTTATTTCTGTGGAACTTAGAGAAAATAAAAACAGCAAGTAATATGTGCTCAGCAGTTTATTATTATTAGTCTGGAGTGCAGTCTTGCCTAAAATAAAACAGTGAGATAAGCTGGATGGGCAGAAGGCAGCCTTGATGGAAAGTCGAGTGGCAAGGAAACACATTTTTTCTTCTGTATACATTTATATCCTGTCTTCATTATTTTTATAAATGATTTAAGGCAGCAAACATAGCTAATATTCCTTCCTCTTCCAGCTTTCCCCACAACAACCCTATGAAATTAGTTGGGCTGAGAGAGGGACTAGCCCAGAGTCACCCAGCTGGCTTTTCTTTATAAGGTGGGACTAGAACTCACAGTCTCCTGGTATCTTAACCACTAGAACAAACAGGTTAAAATTTTAAATTATGGCTATAAATTTGACTCTTTAGTTTTCATTGGAATATACGGCTGCTGAAGGCTTCCCAGAGTCATTGTTAAATCCCACAAATCAAATTCTGGAGTATGTTGCAAGCATTAGATGATTTCACACAACTAGCATAATTGGTTGTACGAGTGTAGCTGAGTGCAAAAAAATATTTACCTAAGTTCTGTTGAAGTAAGCTTTGGATTTTGTCTAATCTATGACACAACCATTGTAAAGTGGAAACTATAGCTTATCCATAATGTGTTGTATAAACTCAACCAATTATACATTTTCCAACAGCAAAACATAACAAGGTTGGTACAAGGTGCCAACCAGTTCACAGAGACATGTCTTAACCAGCAGTCAAGAACATTCACATTCTCAAGATCTTTTACACATGGTGTTTGGCTTAGCCCACTAAATATTTTAGGTTCCGCTGAGTTAAAGTTCCATGCAAATCCTTAAAAAGCTCAAGTCTTCAATTTTGCAGGAGCCAATGTAGTTGGGAATAGCTGTCAAGAAGGAAAAGCAACTCAAGGGAACTCTGGCTGTTTGCAGTCGATGGGTGGATGTTCAACACTGGCAGGAGTCACATTCTGATAAATGACAACAAC